CGCCTTGCAGATGGCCCTGGGGGAGCGCGGGCACCCCTTGGCGGCGCCGAGATCAAGATCTTGGGGATCCCAGTCTGACGAAGTCTCTGTTTCAAAGGCAAAGGAAGGGTGCTGGGCAGATTCTGCAGGCAAGCAACAGGCACAGAATGAATTAGCATCACAGTGAAGGGCAAGGCTGTCTCCCATCCTCTGCTGTCACTGGTGTGCCAAGGAGCTGCCCAAATGAGGGCCACTTTGACAACATGCCAGAGTAGGAGTTAGAACCCAGGATTGCCTGCAAGGACACTTGGGTCAAATTCTGCTCTGAGTTACATCTACTGATGTCAGTGGGTTCCTGTATTCTGTATCTGACAGCAAATGACTCACGGTGTGACCTTGGGCAAGCGACTTAACTGCTTGGTGCCTCAGTTTCCCCCTGTGTTAAATGGGGATTATACCAGTTTCCCCGGCCTTTATGAGTCTTCATTCGTGTTTGTAAAGCACTTTGTGATCCTTGGATGAAAGACACGATAGCAGTGCAAATAGGGTTGCCAGGTGTCTGGTTTTCGACCGGCACGCCCGGTCGAAAACGGACTCTGGTGGCTACAGTCAGCACCGCCGACCGGGCCGTTAAAAGTCCAGTCGGTGGTGCTACAGGGCTAAGGCAGGCTAGTTCCTACCTGTCCTGGCACTGCGCTAAGCCCAGGAACAGCCAGCAGGTCCAGCTCCTAGGCGGGAGGGGGCGGGGGGATCCGCGCGCTGCCCCTGCCCTGAGCACCGGCTCTGCACTTCCATTGGCCAGGAATCCAGGCCAATGGGAGCTGCGAAGGCGGTGCCTGCGGGCGAAAGCAGCGCGCAGAGCCTCCTGGCCGCCCCACCTAGGAGCCGGATTTGCTGCTGGCCGCTTCCACGGCGCAGCGCGATGCCAGGACAGGTAGGGAGCCTGTGTTAGCCCTGCTGCACTGCTGACCGGGAGCCGCCTGAGGTAAGCCCGCACCTTGACCCTGAGCCCCTGCCCCAGCCCTGAGCCCCCCCCCAAACCCGGAGCCCCCTCCTGTACCCCAAACCACGCATCCTCAGCCCCATCCCAGAGCCTGCACCA